TGCTGGTGCAATAAGCTGTACGTTTTACGTCCAATGGATGATGATCTGATTAGTCGACTAATCGCAAAAATAATCGGTGACTAGTCGACTATCAAAATAATCGTTTGTGGCAGCCCTAATTCCAGGTGTAGAAGAGAGAGGGAGAGTCCTGAGCAGTTCACCTTAGTGAGGCGTGCTCCATCAGCTCAGTGACCCTTGGTCTGTATTTCATTGATTGACTGATTGATTGATTCTCATATTCACCATCCCAACTTGAAAACATGGTTTTCAATATTTGGATAATGGCTGTGCTCAGTTTTGGGCACAGCTGGGCATTCACAGAGGAGAGAGTGTGACTCACTTTCACCACAAAGGCCATGTTCTTAGCTGTGTTAGCACCATCACCAGTCTTGGTCACCTGCGGCCTTTCTGTCCTAATAAGTGGTTCTGAATCGTAATTATAAATTAATGCAGTTATTGCACATATCTGGCATTTGAGTTTTATGGATTTAAAAGGTTTGCATTTTTGTCTCATTTTGGGGTTTTTGTTTTTGTTTTTTTAATTGCAGCTCTGCCTACGACCGGGAGAACAAGATACGCGTGGCCATCAAGAAGATCAGCCCCTTTGAGCACCAGACCTACTGCCAGCGCACCCTGAGAGAGATCAAAATCCTCCTGCGCTTCAAGCACGAGAACATTATCGGAATCAACGACATTATCCGTGCACCGACCATCGAGCAGATGAAGGATGTGTATCCTCACTGAAGCATGTTTGATTGCGTCTCATTCTTGTGTTTGATGGTTTTCTTTAGCTGCTGGTCAGATTGGTATTACCACCAAACGTTTGTGGTCAAGAGGTTTTTATTTGTCTTTTATTACATAATAGCCACCTGTCGCCATACAGTTGGCAGAGATGCTTTTCGCTGTAGCCAAATGGTAGCAGACTATCAAGCCTGCAGGCACTGTGTATAGTTTTACACTGCGTCTGTGACTGAAGCCTGCAGCTGCTCAGCCTGGCAACACAAGCATGTGCCCAAGAACAAATACTAAATTGCACTGGCTTTCTTTCACCAAGAGTCATCAGGAAGGTGGAGTGTTTTTGGCCTCAAGAGCACCAGCTCAATCAGAATCCTCATGATTAGGGACTTTGAAACTTGACTAAAAGTCCTAAAAGATCGAACAACTGATCAGTTAGTTTTGTATTTTTGCAGCTGTGCATCTGTCTGGGCTAAATCTTTGACACAAGAACATCCGCCTTTGCTCTTATCAAGTCTTTCTTTAAATAAAAAAAACAAAGAAATGTAAAACAGTGAATAGTTTTACTGAACTTAAGTGTCAGGGAGCTTTCAGCATGATGAATACATTTACCAAAATTTACCATACTGACTAATAATGGCCTCGTAAGTGAGTCATGACTATTGACTGTCTGTAAATGATGTACGTAGTCACTCTGACGCCACACGTTAGATTGTGAAACTCTGTTTTGAATCTTCAAGTGTTTTGGCTACAGGCTTGTGTGTGTGTGTGTGTGTGTGTGTGAGTGTGAGAGTGTGAGAGTGTGTGTGAGAGTGAACATTTTTGTGGGGGCCAAAAATTGGAAGTTTACTCTACTTGTGGGGACCAAAATCCCGGTCCCCACAAGTTTGAAGATATTTTTGAGAGTCAAAGTGTCGTTTTAGTGTCAGGGTCACGATTAGGTTATGGTTAGGGTTAGGCATCCATTTTTGATGGTTAGGGTAAGCGGCCAGGGAAAGCATTATGTCAATGAGATGTTCCTGCAAGGATATAAATACACACGTGTGTGTGAGTTTTTTCAGTATAAAAGCCGACTTTCCTTAACCTGGAACCAGATATATTGTCCAGGATCTAATGGAAACAGATCTGTACAAGCTCCTGAAGACTCAACACCTGAGCAATGACCACATCTGCTACTTCCTCTACCAGATCCTGCGAGGGCTCAAGTATATCCACTCTGCCAACGTACTACACCGTGACCTGAAGCCTTCCAACCTTCTGCTCAATACCACCTGTGATCTCAAGGTAGCGTCTCAAGCAGATGCTGGCTTCATTTAAATGCTTGTTTTCAGGCACTTATCCTTAAGGCCCCCAGACCTCCTCATATGGTGGTTTAACTAACACCAGACATATTTTCATCATGACATGACAATAACTTAATGTTGTCATAAATCCTCACAAATACAAATCTGCTGTGGAGACTCTCAATGTTTTACAGCCTATAATTTTTATGTTGTGTCCTCTAATGTTGTGACAATTTCTTGTGCCTTTCTCATTTTTTTGTAGATCTGTGACTTTGGTTTGGCTCGTGTGGCTGATCCCGACCACGATCACACTGGTTTCCTCACAGAGTACGTTGCCACTCGTTGGTACCGAGCTCCTGAGATCATGCTCAACTCAAAGGCGAGTAGAGTAACAGTGGAATATGTTTAGTGTTTTTAGGTTTTCCCAACTTAAAAAATACTTTGTGCCCTTTAAACGTGTTGATTGGAAAACAATGACCCTGTTAGTGATGTGAAATATCTTTAAACTTTGTATTTCTATTTCAGGTCTTAAACTTTAATTTCTAAATACTAGTTGGAATAATTTTAAATGACTTACAGCACCTGATAGGCACATGGTATAGTAATGCTGTGTATAACTAAGTTAGCTACTGTAATCATGATTATGTCTGTTCTACTTGATTTCAGGGCTACACCAAGTCCATAGACATCTGGT